AGTGGTATTTTTGTAAATAAACACCCTTAAATAATATTTTTGTAAATGTGTACACAAAAAGTGATATTTTTATAATTGCCCATGATTTTTCTCGTCTGTTTGACTAAATAATTTGTTGACGAAAACAATACTAATCAATTAGTCCACTTGACCAACAATATTATTAGGACATGCTTTTAGAAAGGAAGAAATCAAGAAACCCTTTATATTATATTTTAGTTACATTCACATTTCACGACAAACACATGCTGATTAAGTTTTGTTGTATTATTTTATCTGCATACAATAGGCTATTCTATTAAATTTAGATTTTAGAACAATAATTCAAGGATTATGTGCGTAATGACGTAATTATTTGGCTTATTTTTCCTCCATACATATATATATCATAGCACCAGGAGTTTATTTAAACGGTTATGTTTTTGTGTCCTCTTTCGGATTTAAATTACATAAGTAAAAAAAAAAAAATCATACTAGCTTAAAATGAGGATTAAGTGCACAAAGAAGGAATCCCATGTCACATCAAAAATATACTATTAAATCCTTTTTTATTGTTGTTATTTGTTAGTGGTTTTGCTTCTATTAGCTGTCAATCGTATTATTTATCTTAAAGTTTAGGTTACACTAAAAGCATATGATATTTTAATAGTAAACATTTCTCGTGACTATTTTTGTAATAGTGAATGATAATATAAATACCCTATAAATAAAGGCTGTATCAGTTGTCTAACTTTAACTTATTCATTAATTTGCAATATTTTTAAAGTAATCAATACTTTGGGGGGAAAGAGATAAATTTGTTTCAGCATCAAATCAAATACACGTCAAAATTGCGTAAATTATAATCAAGATAATAGTGATGATGATTATACTGAATTGAACTAAAATAAAAGAAAGTTAGTTTAATGCTATTGGACGGCAGGTAGGACAGTTGATAAATTTTTATTTTAAGAATTCACATGGACCATGTGAAACACTATGCTTCTTTTTCCTCATCTTTTCGATCTTCTTTGTTTCTTTCCAAGATTTGATTCCTTTAATTATAGCACCAATATGAGAAAAATGTCAAAATGCATTATGCATGATATTGATTTGAATTTCGATAACAATACTTCAATAACATTAACATGAATCACTAAACATATTTAGACACATTTTATCGAGTTCGAATCGATAGAAAAAACTGACTCTATTGATTGAAGAATTTTGACAAATAATTGATATGAATTAAAAAGAATCAATATCAAATCGTAAAAGTGATCTCATCAATCGTCGGATTCGTCATTAAAACCATAAGAG